TCGTTGCCCATAAAATGTATCACATCTTTATGGTTAGGATAAAATGGTAGTGTTTGGCTTTTTACACTTAGGATTTGCAATGGAGTTTTGACACACCTAGACCATCTGGTCCTTTTGTCAGAGGCAAAAGCTTAGAAGACACCGACTACCAGGAAGGACCCTCAAGGTTCCCCCACCAGTAGAAAATGTTATCAATTTTAAGAAAAATGGAGGGTTGAAGAAATCATTTAACATTAGTGTTTCTTAAAAAGCTGTCCCTTTTATCTTCCTTTGAATTCATTAATTATAGATCCACCACATGATTTATAGATGTTGGCAGAGATGGAGGTGGAAATTATGCACACTGGGAACTCCTACTGGACTCCTGTTAAGTACTTTGGATGCTGTTAAATGTTCCGTGTTACAAAGAGACATGGAGATTCAGGATCAAGTGCCATGTTCCTGGATATTCTGTTCCTCTGCATATTCTCTCCAAAAATTCAGAGTTTAGTCATTTTAAAATATTGGAATTGCTATATTAATTAAAATTCTTTCTTTTACCCATTAATATATAGTGTATAGTATGAAATCCTACCTCTTTCAAAAGGAACATCCCAAATTTCCTAAGCACACAAGAATCAAATTACGTAAATTATGTCTATTTCATATTCTGAGTACATGCATTTGCAATTAGCTATGTCAGGCATTTTTCTTTCATTTAATTTCATCATCATCAAGTAGTATTTATTAAGCACAAACCTGGCTAATTAATTTTCTGGAGAATAACAGATACTCTTAAATTCATTCTATTTAAGAGCCCTTGAACAATATACCTGATACATGACAAATTTCCCTTAGCAAAAATTGCCTTTAAATTTTAATTTTTACCTTATTATTTCAAGGTTCCATTAGGACACATTCCACTCCCAAAGTCAGCATATTCAAATAAAAAATGTCATTCAGAACTAATACAACAGACTCCATGGGATTTTTATTCTTACTACAGTATATTAATATTTTACCTAACTTTTAAAAAATATCACTATTCTAGTTATTAATATGTATGTTTTTTCCAAAAGTGATTCTTTAAGGTATGAAATAAGCAGTTTGAGTATAATCGATAGATGCAAAAACACGTCTACTAATTATACTAAAATTAACTAAAATTTTTTAGTTCATTTCATATGTCAAAAGCAAAGCAAAGGAAAGCCACTGATCTCAAACCAAATGGATTCGAAATGTTTTGCAAATGAACATAAAAACATCTAAGGTGAATGATCACATTGAGACTTTATTTGTGTTTTCCTGGAAAAAATAAAAAGCAAATTTTTATGTGGATTTGGGGAAGAGGGAATATTTTTCTCAAGGTATTTTTTTCTAATGGCAACACAAACACTGTTTCTTTTCATTGAACAGCAACACCATCATATTCACCTTAAATTCCAACCACAAAGGTAAAATTTTAGAAAGTCATCCTTACGGACATCATAACTTCATTCTAATCATAGTTTTCCGTTCAAGAGAAGTTAACACATACACTTGTATCTAGTGTATTTTATTTCTAGAAGCAATTACACTGTACCTCAGGGGCAAATGCTCAGGTAGAATGACAGAAACTGAAATGAGACCACGAGCGTGTAACACATGCTCTTGCCTGGCCATATTAGTATCAATTGTCTAAAGGAGTGGTATTTCGCTGTTATGGTCAATGGCCACTCTGTGCACTAACAGGCACAGCTGAGAGTTATGCTTCAGAGAGGCCTAGGAAGAGCTCCATGTGACAAGTCAGCCTGTAATCACAAGTGTTGTGACCTGACACATACTAACGAGAGTTTCTGGGCTTTATATCTCAATATGCAGACTTGAAGTTTCAGTATCAAGATGAGATTAAGCATTTGGATAATTCTGATTAGGTTAAAAATATTGTTCAGTTTGCCCTTAGAATGAATCAGGGACTCACTTGCAAAAGGGCTTCCTAGAGTAGCGGGATGCTCTCATTTTCAAACAGAGATTTACATCTCTATTAGAAATAACTCCAACAAGAGATGAAATGATAGGAAGCAGTAGCCTGAGAGGTAAGGGAAAAACAAGAAGAGGCCCTATATTACAGCCACAGTCATTCAGGGGTTTCACACCTGGCAAGAAGTAGCCTAACTTTGTTTATACCAACGGAAGCCCCCAGGAGAATACGGCACACAGAATCCACAGGAATAATTTGGTCATACTTTTCAAAGAAGTTTAGTTTTCAAAAAACCAACCTTTCCTAAAGGGAAAAACACCTTGAGAACTAATTAGCAGTAAGAAGGGCCAGGAGAAAAACACTGTGCTCTGGTAAAAAGATTATTTTGTTGATCTCGGGTAAAGACCGAGGGCCAGATGCTAAGGTGGATGTTCCCAATGCTTATCTCTCTCCCCTCTGCCCCAGGGACATTGTAGTCTGTTACATTTGTATCCTCTCAACAGGGACAGGAACAAAGGCTCAAAACAATTTCTGTAAGACATAATTCTGAATCATAGGACAGGTGGCAATTTTCTGAGGAGTAACAGTAGATTATTGGAACAGCAGAAAGAGAATGGAAAAATACTTTTTTTTTTTTTTTCTGGTTAATTGGATTTCTTGGGAGCAAAGCACAGGCATCTACCCTTTACAATGCAAAAGGTAAATAAGACAAATGGATACTAAACATTCACGAGGCTAAATTCATGACTGATGCCTCTTACTGCTTAAGATCCCCTATAAATATGCTGTCCAGTGGTTTTTAATGGTGTGATTGTCTGACTCAGCAGACCAGTGTCAGGAAAGAAATTTACATAAATGGAAAGTGAAATCTTTCTGCAAGAAAGAGGACTGTTAGAAACTGCTTAGGTAAGGAGATGTTTACTTACACAAACATGGATATACATATTAAACCTGCCCGCCAATATCTTCTTGAGCTTAAGTTATTGCCCATAAAAAAGCTAAGATGTTTGCTTTTAATTTCCAAAAAGTCATCTCAGTTTCAATTTTACCTGGAATAAATTCTGCAAATAGAGCTGTCATTAGGAATAAGAAGAATAATATCAAGGTAGTATCCAGAAGGTAGTGGCCAAGGACTCATCCTCAAATATAGCACATGTTTACATGGCGTGGCTAAAGATGAGAGGGTGATACAAGACAACCTCAGGGCAATGGACCCTGCTCTCTAGAAACATGAATGAATGATGTGAAAGGGCCTTCATCCGAGGGCAGCATGGCACGGCCTCTGAAGTCAGACTGCCTGCATTCAAATCTTAGTTTGAGCAATCCCTGTCTATATGACCACAGGAGAGGCACTGAACCCTCTAATCTGTAATTTTCCCTTAATAAAATGGCGTGAAAATAATCCAATGTGAATGTGAAGAAAAAAATCAAAGAATACACTTAAAACATTTATCACGGTGTCCAGCATATACTAAGCACAATACATGTTAATTGCTATCATTGTTACTATTATTTCCCTTTTGCTCCCGGTTCATATTTCTGAGCCAGGTTGGGGAGTTGTATAGATGGAATGACTGGCTTCAATTCTTCACCATTCTCTGTCTGCACTCACACCTTTGCCACAGCTTCACTGTGGGTGGAGTGTGTTTTTCTACTGCCTGACCTTGGACTCAGCCATATGACTTGCTCTGGCCAACGGCCTATGCCTAGAGCGGCAGTGTGCCAGTTCAGAGCCCAGCCCTTTGCTGCTGGCCCTCTGATACCTCATGGCATGAGAGGGACACACTCCAGCTAGCCTGCTGGTCCAAGGAGTAGCTCAAATATGTGTAGCCCACTCAGATCTGTAGACTTACAGTGTGATAAAGGGACACCAGCCTGAATCAGAGTCCTCCCTGCCCCCAGCTGCTCTGCACAGAGCCATGAGAGAAATAAAGGTTTATTGATGTATATTATTGAAATTTTGTTATTTATGCAACAAAAGCTAACTGAACCAAGGAGTGAATTAAAGAGTTGTCTATACAACATGCATTTATTTCCCAAGGAAAAAAACATTAGCTTGGTGTCTGGGTCTTTATGTATATTGTTTCTTTTAGTCTTAATAACAGCACGGGAGGTGGCAGGACTAATTTTACAAGTGAGGAAACTGAGGCATATAGAGGATGAGTAACTTGCCCACGTTCACAGAGGGGGAGGGTAGCTAAGGCAGAATTCAAACTCAAGAAGTTTCCTTGCATGGTACGAGATGACGATGGTAGTGATGAGAGGTGCAAACATGTATCCTCCCTCTATCATCACTTAACTACTTTCATCACATGTGTGCGTTAATTTATTTAATCCTTAGAACCCTGTGAAGTAGGTATTATTTATTATCCTTGTTGTACAGATGAGGAAATGGGAGACAGCTGGTCAAGTTCCCGGCCCGCATTTTCTCACAGCTAGCAAGTCGCAAGCTGGATTTGAACACAGCCCACCTAGTTAACCATTACACTATGTTAATAGCTATTAACATACTACCCGCCCCAAGGTGAAAGGACAGAAACATGATCTTCCCTTTTTTCTGGAAACGTACAAGCTTCTCCAAGTGTTCAAAAGCAAATATGTATTCTGGGCACCATGATTATCTTCAAGTGTATAAAATACAATAAATGACCTTTAATTTACACTACAATCACTCTCAGGTTCCACTGAGCTTTCACTCTTGCATGCACAATTGTTTTATTTGCTGCCTTTATGTTTACTTGTTTTTAGTTTTGCTTTTCTGATTGTGTAATTTTAGACTCAACTCTGTAGAGATACAAATTCAGAGGAATCCTAATGGAATAACAAAAAGAATGAAAAAAGAATGTTAATCATGATGGGTTTTAAGAACTATTCCTAGGAAGTAAAAATAACCACTTAAGGTACAAAAACAGCCGGTCCTGTCCACACATACATTTCCTACATCTGGCAGGAAAGCCTCAGCGGTCTCGAGGCTTCAGACACTTTCCCCATCCAGTCCCCAAGCACAACGGCCACATCTCCAGTACCTTCTCCCGAACATGCAAACATCGTTCCTACCCACCTTAAAAGCAGCACCTCCATGGATGATGGATTTGATAAAAATTCCCAAGTCTGTTCCAGTTTCCCGGGATTTGTTCCCTTTCAAGCTCACCCCAAGGCCAGCAGAGCCTGAATCATTCAGGGGAATCTCAAAGGTGAGTTGCTCGGTTGTCTCCAGGGAGAGTGCATAGCAGTCGGGTTCTCCTTTCTGTTGGGGATACGCAGATGGAAAGAATGAAGAGAGGAAAGCAGATTAATATTTCACACTCTCAGATGACCAAACGCAGATGCAAACACAGATGTTAGAGGATGATTGGACCTCCAACAGCTACAGTGCTGCTCCTGGCAGGCAAAGGCTGGTGGTCTTTTCTCTGCAAGGGGCCACCATCACATCTGTGAGGGGGGTGGGAGTGAGGAGCTCTCAGGGAATAACATTTGGTAATGGTCAACAGAGAGGATCATTTGGCAAGGCAGAGTAATGCAATTTGAAATATCCCATAAGCATTTGGAAATTCAGCAGAATATTCACCATGATTAAAGAAGCTAGACATTAGACTTTGGGAATCTTAGGTATCAGAAGAGATCTTAGAGATAACATAATCTCAACATCTTCATTTTAGATGAAGAAACACAGCTCAGTGTAGAAATGTCTTAAAATTTCGGGAAAATATTTGGCTTATATAATTTAAAACATGATTGTTTACCATGGAAGCAATGCAGTTGGTAAAGACTGTCAATAGGACACAGTACTGAAAAATAAAATGTTATCTTAAAATTAGAACTATGTGATTTATAATGGATATCATTGAATTAAATTTCACTGTGTCAAAACTCATGCTTTATGCCTGCATTTTTGGGTAGTATAATTCACTGCCATTCAGTTTTTGAACCCAAACAAAAATGATTATGCACAACAAATATCCATGTCACCTTTGACAAATGACACCTGGCCACAAGCATACTACTTTTAAGAAATACAGTGAGTATGGCGGTAAAAAAACATATTTAGGGTTCAGGTCTCCAGAAAGAAGTATGTGGTTAATCATATTTGGTCCCCAGTGTTTTTAAGTATACAGTAGTGGGACTAGACAAGTGCTGTCCACATGATAATCTTTGTAGGCATCCCTTCTACATTCCTCTCAAGCTTGCAGAAATGTGAAACTGTCACAGTACATAACCGAAAAATTTGAAAATGAGATATCCCTGGAAACTATCAACTCATTCTAGGTCGGTAGTTCCTTCCTCCCTATAATTATGTCTAGAGACTCTCATCTTGAGGTCACTTTGAAGGGACTCTTACATAAAATTACATATTTAAAAAAATTACTATGAATGTCTGAATGTCAGTCACATAACCATAAAATCAGAAGTAGCAAAGAACCTATAATTAAAACAGAATTAAGGGTCTGATCATAGCCAGATCCATTGATGAGGCATTTTCGACCCTTCCCAAAATAGAGAAAACCCACCTCTAACTTTTAAAGAAACAGTTCCTTCATTTAATTTCATTGCCAATGAAGTTAGCTGTAAAGATTTTGACAATAGGTTGTTCAAAGAAATGAAACTTTATTGATTAATTTAATAAACATATTACACATTAGCCCTTTTAACTCATTATGCTATTATCTAAGAAACAAACCCCATTATTTGATTCAAACTAGCTGTCTTTTTCCATTGGAATGCCAGAGGTTAGTACTAAATGTAAACTATTTGCCTTCATATTTGTCTTCCAAAATGCCCAATTTAGAATCCGTAACATTTCATAATCATTCATGTTTCTAGGCATCTCTGGGATTTGGTTAATTTCAGTCTAATAAAGTCCCACTGAATTAAAGTATAAATTAAAGAACTGTTTTTACTATAAGTTTGTGAATATCATTTTAAGAGAAAAACTAGAAGGTTTCTCTGGCTTTTATCTACCAGAGACAAAGAGACAGGATGAGTTTTGCTTTACTAATACTCTCAATTCACTTCATTCTATGATCAAATTATTTTTCTTTTGGCAATTGTGTTTAATTCCTAGTAAGGCTGACAACCATTATTTGCACTAACACCTTTCATTTATTGCATAAGTGGTTGAAAAAAAATAGAGATCCGTTGGCATTATGGTTATCTTTTCTTTTGAAACTTAATTTATCTTTTTTAAGTCCCTGGTATCCTAGAGCCAAAAATACAACAAAAACAATAAGCTAGGGCCTGACAATGATTAAGTGCCTCTGTTCTAAGTGCTTCACACATATTATGTACTTACTCTTCCCAACAAGCCTATGAGGTTTAATCTCATGTCTATTTTACAGATGAGTAAACTGAGGTGCATAGCAGATAAGTATCATGATTACAGTCTTCGAGACTTGCCAATGTTGAAGCTTGTGTGGCTCAGGCAGCATGGTTCCTGTGTCAGACTCTCTCGCACACTTTTTTTTGATGAAGGGTTCTGAATTGTCTACTACATTTTCATATTCTATATTATTCTACATTCATTTTTGACAAAAGTATTGAACTTTAAGGTACATTATCTATGGATAAAACATAATGAGGAATGTATTTATTATTTTTTCTTTTTTAATTGAAAAATAAAAATTATATCTATGTATGTAGTACATGATATTTTAAACTTTATACATTGTAGACTAGCTAAATTGAGCTTATTAACATATGCCTTACCTTACATACTTATCATTTTTTTGTGTGTGTTGAGAACACTGAAAATCTACTCTCTTAGTGATTCTTAAGTATATAGTCCAATGTTAACTATAGTCACTGTGTAGTACAATAGATCTCTTGAACTTATTCCTCCTAAGTGACATTTTGTATCCTTTGACCAACATTTCCCCAATCCTCTCCAATTCCTGGGAACCACCATTCTACTCTCTGTTTCTATGAGTTCAGCTCCACCATTCTTAACTACTATACTGCATCCCTGTATCCCAACTTTTGTGGGTCACCACGACTTCACTTACCTTCAAGAAATTCCAAGACAGTTTCCTAAAATGACAGTAAGATATCATGCAATTTACATTTTCTACCCAACTACAGTTATGTTTCATATCTTTTCTGAGCTTGTACCAGGCTCAGGCCATAATTAACGCTAATAATAGCAAACTTCCCAATGGTAAAGGAAGCCATTACAGTAGTTAATACAGCCATTTCCTCTGTTAGAAATAAATGTCCCCTTAACTAATGTAAAAAAAGAAAAAAAAAATCAATATGCTGAATGCCTCCCTCCAATAATCTTGGTTCAGACAGCAACTCTGAAAATTAAAGTCAAATCTTGCTAGATGACATTTTGTAGCAGAATGGAAGAGAGTATGAAGCACTTGCAAGTGCCCCCAGTGCAAGACCTGAGGGATATGACGAACCTAATGGCAGTGGCACATCCAGACCCTGGACCCTCCCTGGCTTCCGTCTTTCAGGTAAGAGCTCTTTCCATGCTGTTCTAAGAGTCTAAGACATTCGAGCCAGAGACCTCAATATCATCATTGACTCGCTTATCTCATCACATTCCACATCCAGCCCATATCAGCTCTACCTGAACAGTATACCCAGAATCCTACCACCTGCGCCTGACACTATTTGTAATAGCCCCCTCCTCTCTGCTCCCTTTGCTTCCACTTTTCTCATCTTCAGACTATTTCTTAGTATAGCAGCTAGCATTGTCTTATTAAAACAAATACTCAAAACCTTTTAGTAACTTTTCACCTCATTCAGAGAAAAAGCCAAAGTCCTTCCTTACAATGTCCTAGAAATTTCCTAAGTTGAGCACCCCGACTCTCCTCTCTGAGGACACCTACTCATCTTGCACCGACCACATTGGCCTTCTTTCTTTTCTTCAATACAACCTGTACACTTCTGCCCTGAGTCCCTTGCATTGCACCTCTCCCCTCTGGTTTGAATGTGCCTTTCCAAGATTTCTGCACACCTCATTTCCTTACCTCCTCCAACTCCCTGTTCAAACATCAATGCATTAGTGAGGTCTTTGGTGACCGTCCAATTTCAAATTGCTTTAATGCCCTCCCAATAGTACCCTGCCTAGGTCCATTGTCTAGTTTTGTTTTTCTCCATAGCATTTATCACACACTGTATACTTATTTTTTTAATAATGTCTCTTGAATGCAGGGACTTTTATCTTGTTCTGATTTTTTCTCACTGATGTATTGCTAGTGCCTAAAGCAGTATCAGACTCAAAATAGGCACTGGATAAAGATTTGTTGAATGAATGAATCAATTTATATGAGTATCCAACAGTATGTGCCTATGTGTATCTGTATGTATATATGTGTACAAATCTGTATTTGTAAAATTGTAAGCAAATGAATAAACTGTTGGCATCACATCTGACTTGAGATTTCATTAATTAAAATGTTCATATAAATTTTTACATTAAAAGTAATTATAAAAAGCATATGATATCACAGGAATAAGGAACGTTAAGGTTAAGGTTAATAAGGTCGTAAGGAACCTTAAAAATAACCTAGTCCAACTTTCCTTTTGATACCCTATTTCCTGCTCCTAGGAGAGATGATATAACCCAGCTCACCTTTAACATCAAATTCTCAGTGAAGACACCGAGATGTGTCATAGCTAATTCACGATGGACATTGGCCTGTTCATGGTTTTAAATAATATCAGGTACTTTAAATTACAAGTGAACATTGCAAACAGCAATATTTATAGTATATTTCATCAAGTTTGGAAAGCATTGTTATCTGGTACCCAAAGCCACATTATCTATCTATCCATTCATCCACTGATACAGACACACACACACACACACACATATACATGTGTGCTCACACACATACAACAAGTTTCAAGAGACAATACTCACCCAAAGTACAATTAATTCTGGTACTTTCCATTCCATTTTCTTTTCTTTTTTGAAATGTGGTCACAACCCACCAAGTTGATTTCATAATCCAATAATGGGTCAGAGTTTTCATTTTGGAAAGCATTGCAATCATGTATGTATAGGCATTATTTTTATTAATAAAGAAAAAAAGCAAAACCAATAGTGAGGAGTAAAATGTGAAATTCCTTTTCTTTCCTAATTTTTATAAGCCATTTATAATGCTTTATCCTACCCAGCTCTAGCCCTAACCCATTCTTCTCTTTTACACAAATTTTCTTCAAGTTCCTACAGCTGTTGATCTGATATGATCCTAATTATATATATATATATTTTTTTCCTTCTCCCTCCCATACAGTTAT